AATTAGAGCAAAAGCTGCCAGGGATGTCATGGATTTAAGGTAAAACATGCTGATCCAAATTACCATTGATACATGTGTATTTCTTTCTTTATTGAGCTTGTTTTTATATTTTTGTTGTTTGGTTAAAAATGAAAACTTTAATTTCCTCCATCAAACATAATCAACCTTCAAAACTGCATCTTTCAAGTCCTTGTTAAAAACTTTAATAAAAAAAAAACGATCAAAGAAGGTCAACATCTTTCAATGATATCAAAACACAGGAACAAAACCTTTAGAACTCTCTGAAACACAGTAAATGTTTCCTATTAGAGGTCTAGAATATAATGCAGGGAAGCAATTAAACAATATTTCAATGCAGTCACTCCATCCCAGCTGTATTTACAAGTCTATCAATCTTGCATGCTGTTGAAAAGTACAGTTAAACTGACTATAGTCTAAATGTCCAATCGTTTTATGTGGTTGATATTTCTTAACCAAATTGCAAGCATCTGTTGATGTAGCTTTAAGAAATCATTCAATTTTTTATCAGAATTATCTTTCAATTGAAAATTTGTATATTAGAATCATTATGGTAAATCAAATCATGAGTTCTACAAATTTAGCTGCAACGTCTATGAAATGAGAAGTTTCCTTTCAATATGACAGTTTTCCTCTTGATGGCAAGGACAAAGCAGTCGATGTTGGAGCAATTCCTGAACTGGTGTCGCTTCTTGAAGATGCTAACAGTGATGTTAGAGCACAAGCTGCTGGTGCCATCATGACGTATGTTGAACTTTTTAGTTGCTCATGGACAGCTTAATGCTATAGATTGTTTCGACTTTTTTTTTTTTAGTAACAGGCCGTAATCATGATACAGTTAAGTTGTACTGCTGTAGTTGTGTACCTCACAATAATTTTGATTCTTCTTAGAATTACAATAACAACCAAAGGGAAGTATGCAGCAATAGATGAAAAAGCAATTCCTAACCTTGTGAAATTGCTAGATGACCCTGAAAGTGAAGTGAGACTCAATGCTCTATAGGTTTTCATGTGCTTGGAGGCACGAATGCTTGGTCACGATATTGGAATATAAGTGGATCATGTCGAGCTCAACGGCACAAGTACTTTGAGTTTGTCTCGTGTACTACTCTGCAAGGAGAGCGTTTTTGTTAAATATATGGTCTTGTGATGCCACGTGCTCTCATTGCATTTATCCTCCAAAGCCTTCAAACAAACATGATACTCTACAGATTTAAAGAATAGATTCGCTTTAATAGTTTAGCTTGAAAAATGTTTAGACTGATCATTTTACCCTCGCTGACATAGCAGTCTTCCTCACGAACACTTGTAGATCGTGGCCAAGGTTCGAGATTGTTTTCAGCCCGTTGTGGCATTGCCGACTCAGGCATTTGACCATTCTAAGCTAGTGTGTATGATTGAGACCGGCCAGTTAAGTGAATCATGTTTCATAGAAGACTCTAAAGGACACTTGAACTGAAGTTGATGAAGGACTAAATGCTATAATTCGGACGTAGCAGCTAAAAGGATTAGAAGTCTGGGCATGTAATCAAATTGCAACTTGACAATGAAAACCAGTTTATAAAGTGCATTTGCGATGACCGATTGTGTCACTTGATGTCTGCTAAGTAGTCAACTTTGAAGTCTCAAACCGCCATGTAATTATCTTTGTTACCTCTCAGTCGAGTGGAGGCGCGGTGGCCTCATGGTTAGCGGTGCGCTCGACTCCGGATCGAGTGGTCCGGGTTCGAACCCCGGCCGGGACATTGTGTTGTGTTCTTAGGTAAGACACTTTACTCTCACAGTGCCTCTCTCCACCCAGGTGTATAAATGGGTAACGGCAATTTAATGCTGGGGGTAACCCTCCGATGGACTGGCATCTCATCCAGGGGGGAGTAGAAATACTCCTAGTCGCTTCATGCTACAGAAACCGGAGTTTAAGCACCGGCCTAATGGGCCAATAAGGCTCGTAAACAGACTTTACCTTTACCTTACCTTACCTCTCAGTCGAAACTTCGAGAAGTTGGTGTTTGGTAGTTATGCTGGATCGCAGGAACGCAGGCTCTCAACCTGAAAAACTAACTTCTGTGCACTCTAGTGCATACCTATCAATGACACAGGGCGGAAAAATAGGATAGGGAGAAACTCCCTTTGAAATGAAGTTTTCCGCGCACTATATGCAAATATGACTCACGCACACTCGGGTCAAGAATTGATGACAATTTTGATTCAACTTTCGAGTTTTACGCGGAGTTCATAAAAAAATCGAGGGCCTTACTCAAAATTGATCCATCGTGTTTGTAACTCAGCACTGGGTTGAATAAATTCTAAACCGGTTGACGTTGCTTTTGCTCCAAAAAAAAAAAAGACAAGAAAACCAAACAAATAAATAAATAAGTATAAAGGACGAGGTAAGGAGAAAATTCCAAAGGGAAAGTTTCGCTACTGAACAGATCACAGAGAAGTAACCGAAAACGACAGAGAAATGACTTGAAATAATATCATTATTGTCGTATTATTTAATTTAATTTAATTTATTTTAACATAATTTATATAGCGCTAACTCCACTAATTGACCAAAGCGCTTATTTATGAACTTATCTTATCGCTTGTCGCGAGCTACCCTTGGAATTTATAAGTTCATTTTTCCGATGGTACGCAGATTTTTCCTGTATTAGATTATTTGTCTATGCTGACAATGGATCTATCGTGTGGCTAGTGAAAATATGGCTAAAATGTGGAAGATCGAAGAGCCCAAGAGTTGTAAAGCAAAGCAAGTCGACTCGAGCACATAGGATCTGTCAACGGGAGAGAAGTCCGGGAGAGTAGACAAAAAAAAAAAAAAAAAAAAAAGAAAATAAGATAATCCAGTTATGAGTTCTCCTACAATTTAGCACTCACTACACCGCCGGTAAAATGAAGCCACGCATACTTTGCATTGCCTTATGCAGAGGTGAAAACTTATCTTGTCTGATGCAATTATTCAGTGGGGCTAGCAACACATGCCGTCAAGCTTGTGTTGAACTGGAAGATTGGATGACAGTAACTTTCCTTTTGTCCGGTGTTGTCGGGTGGAAACGAAGTTTTGTCTTGGTCCGGTTGAAAGAAGTTTGCAGTTCACTCAATTTTTTAGATGATTGAGAGAAGAGAAGAGACATAAAAAAAAAACAAAAACTAAATCACCGTTACTTTAATTCGAAAATCACGAAGATTGACCAGGAGTCATTCTGAACAACGAGACAGGTTTAGATGCGAGTTGACCTCAGCAGATCAACTGGAAAACCCCTGTCTTAATGACATTTTTCAAATCAAAAGCCATTTAAATAATTGTTATTAAAAAATAATAATGAATGAAAATAATAAAAAAAAAAAACTGGTATAGGGGGAAAGAAACTCGAAACACCTGATATTAAAAGTTTTATCGACTTTTCCGACTCCTCAAAATGACGATATAGGCAAGTGTATATAAAAGACACCTTTAGAGAGTCACTTCTGGAATTTTTTTAACCAAGAAATAAAGGGACAACTTGAGTTTCTAGGAGATTGATTGAAATCGAATTTGTGTTGAAAGTGGTGAAACGACAGAGTTCAAGTGCACGCTTGCAGTTGACTCAAACATTGCGCACAATTCAGGATCATCCGAATAATCGTTCAATTAATAATCCGTTGAATTTCAATTGTTTTTCAACCAATTATCCTTATGATAAAAATGAAGTTTCAATTCTTAAGGACAGCTGGAAAAATGTGTCAACCGATGTAAGACGACTAATTTGGGAGGACCTACGCGAGAATAAAAGAAATTCATTAGGTTGGCACTGAACAACTATTGATAATTTATTGTTCACTCAGCCTATTTTTGTCTTTTTGAGATGCCTCTTTCAATTTTAAAGTGAAAGATGAGGTGATAAGGTTGCAAATATTCCACGAAGTCAAACATAAGGCAGGTATTTTCGACATTACCATCTTTATGCTTACAAGGCGGCCATCTTTCGGTCGAATAATCGGTAAAACAGAACTTGTCCGGCGGTAATAAAATTATATCCCTGCTGAGTATTTCCTGATGTCTAACCGCTCGCATCGTCGTGGCTCCGTAATATTCCTTTCAGTTAACCGAAAACAGGCCTGCCGTAACTTTTTAATTAGTGTTTGATTGAGTTCGTCTACAAGCGGCAATCTAGATATTTTTAATTTAAGTTTCATAAATCTGGGAATGACTTGACGTTTTATCAAGAAGCCACATACCGCATGTTTAACATACCAAGAACGCAGCAAAAGCATCTAATGCATGGTCGAAACTTGACGGAGAATGTGGAAAATAATTCCTTTTTCATCTGCGTCATTTATCTTGAGAAAATTTATGTAAATATCGTCTTTCTGGAACGAAAAAATATAATATCTATAGCTCATCATACTCATTTTAGGCCCAAATAAGGTTATTCCGTTTAGGAACTTTGGCACGTATTTTCTGAGAACTATGTTTCTAATGACAACATGTTTTGGTCTATTCTTAATTTGATTAAGTTTTCGCCTGGCTTTCTCGAAGGTTAGCTTGGTTATTCTTTTTCTTTATTAGGTACGCAAACAGCTTTTGTTCCACTCAGGTTAGGTCCCGAAAATCATGATATTCGCAGGAAGCCATAACCTTCGAGAGCGCGGCTAGGCAACTACTCTAGGGTCCATCGCAATTTTATTCTGATAATCCCTTTTCAGGCAGTGACCGTTCTAAGGCGATTAAATGCTTTAAAAATCGGTCACCTTTGTACTATCAGAGGAACACTTTGCATCATAGCGAAAGTTCGGTGAGAACTCAGTCAGGGGGAAGAATGTTTGAAAAATTTCATGCAGCTGCCGGTAAGCGAATGCCGAAGGAATTTTAGTCATGTTCTCGATTATGTTTTACAAGTCATCTGTCAAGACTAAACAGTTGTTTACAAGCCTGATCTACCAGGTACTTCGATACTAATCGGAACAGATCTTAGTTCCTTGACGAATGATCATCACGTACAATGTCAGAATATCGTGTATGTTGCACAGGGTGCGTGCCATTCCTTCCCCGCCATCGTGAACTCGATACAAAAGAAACCTTTGTCTGTTTTCTTCCTTTTGACCGTCTGGGAGGCTTGAACCAACCATTTGGTCAATCTCAGATGACGCACAAAACCGACATTTTTCATTATATAATCCTCATCTCCGTGAAAGAGCAAAGGTTAAGAGGAAGCCCGTCTCGCTGGTTGAAAAACACACCGTTGATTATCCGGCTTAATGTTAGTACTTTGGCGTACTTCACATACTTTACGCAAGCTAGCGTGTATAAAAGCAATCAAGCAATTGAGGATATCTGCAGTAGTTTTTTGAAGTAGTGAAGTTTTCATCCCTTTTCCACAACAGAAATCAAATTTTTTTTGACGGCATGTATTCTGTCCGGCTTTTGGGTATGCTCGCAGTTGGCCTCTTCGTTGCAGAAGGATTTCGGTTTGGTCTTCAGGAGAAGTGCGCAAAAATCACTAATCCATTTTGCAGCCGTGTACTCCCGTACAACTTGACCCGTTTTCCAAATATACTCGGTCATCAAAGCGAATTCATAGCCAACCGAGCCCTTCAGCTTTTTTCTCCACTGGTCAAGCAAGCAAACTGTTCCAAACACGCCGAGTTTTTCCTTTGCTCCTTTTACCTGCCGATATGTTTGCCAGGAATGGAAGAAGAGAACGTTATAAGGCCTTGCCGTTCCTTGTGCGAGCGAATCAAGGCGGACTGTTCGGCCGTAACAAAGTACTGGCCGAGCTTTGTAAAATGCGAAGAGCTACCTCAGTTCAAAGATGGTGTGTGTATCCAGCCGGAATCGTTTATCACTGAGCCGAAACCAACAAGTAAGTCGATGTGAGATTCCTTTGTTTTTTCAAACGTGGTTTAAGTCATGATCGATCGAAACGCCTTTCAGTGAGAGCCAATTTGTGGCTTTGATATCATAACAATCATCGCAAACAACTCAAAGATAACAAACCACATTGAAGAGTATTAACGCGCAAGTTACTGGCTAATTAGACTTAAGTGATACTCTTTTCATTCACTGTAAGAAAACGGGTCGGAGTGTTGTAACAAGGCATTCTAAAATTATTCAAACTGTCTTACAGACACTGCCTGTGATCGCTGCTAATCCTTAGTAAGATTTCTTTTTTAAAAAAATGCTACTTTCTAAATAATTTAGCAAGTACCAGCGTCATATACCAGCGTCAGTCATGTCCCAGAGTGATTTTTTTAAAGAATCGACCAAGATCATTTTCAAAACCTATTTGACGCAATTCTTGTGAAGAATCCACATGATAAAGTGATACAACGCGTATGGTACTTAGCAAGAGAAATAAATTAAAAGTTATTTTTCTATTCTTTTCATAATCGTGAAGACATTTTGTTTCAGTCGGTTAACGGATGAAAATTGTTTGTAAAAACGCAACGAGCGATATTATTATTTTAAAAAGAGTCAGTGTGCCAACAAGGACTCCATCAAACCTGCCATACTTTTTCCTGAGGCTGAAGTTTTTATTTCGAATCAGACCAAAAGCAATAGCCCTCGTGTATCTTACACTGAGATTGAACTTATTCATAATTTCTAGCTACTTTGTTCGAAATTCCTCTTCATTCATTCTTTGTCGAGAAAACAAAGTTTCTTATGATCATTCTCGAGTAAAATTTCAAACAATCAATTCGTAAAACTGATCCAAAACAACACTGAAATCTTCGGGGACAAATGTTTTAATTTCCATTAGCGATAAGCACTATTAGTGTCGATAAGATGAGATCCTTAGCAAGCATTCTTCAAATTTAAAAGAAGAGATTTCAATGTGGCGTCTGCTGATTAAGAGGCCTGATACGCCCACTTAATTTTTTTTTTTTTACCGCGGATGTTGCCGAACTGATCGGTAAGACTTAATGAAAAAATTCTTTATAATAATTTCCTGAATGCACAGCCCACCCTGCAAATTTTCTATCCGGCTTATCCGGAATTTGTGTTTCGAATTTACGTTCATTTGTTGTCGGAACCCTTCTCGACGTGTCAGTGTTTCAACCTTGTCCTGATAACATTTTTTCAATTGTCAGTGATTGATAGTGTTCTGTGCGATCGACCCAGTAAATACAGGTGATCATTAAGATATCATTGATAGAGACACCGGCCATTATGACCTCATTACTGCTCACTACTTTTCGGGCATGGATCGTTTAGGGATCAAATAGGGCCAATTAGTAAAACAAGGTGAAAAGAAAAAAAAAACAAAAACAAAAAAAAAAACAAAAAAACAAACAAAGGTTAGGATCAGGGTAAAACATTTGGATTTGTTTGTGTGAGTTGAAAAATGTCCAAGACGCACAGCTGTCATCATCCATGCATTATGTTTTAGAAGCTTAGTCTGTAGTTAAAAATGAAATCAAGCTTTACACACTCCTAAAACCACAGGCGGAAATAGTTCTCGTACGGCTACATTGGGGTTGTTTATTCTAACTTAAAAGTTGTTGTTTTTTTCATCAGTTTTCTAAGACATCCACTCTTTTATCCAATTTCAGATATTGTTGATTTCACTCCCTGCAAGAGCAGACCTCCAGCTGATTACAAGATTTATGCCAGCGGCCAGTATGACTATGGTAAGAATGCACACATACTTGAAAATTAAGAAATAGCCGTGAAGTAGATTGTTGAAACTGTTTGACTCTAAATGACTTAAACTGCGTGAAAAAATTTCTCATATGGATAGGAAGGGCTTATGAGCTTATGATCTAATGGTGTATCTCTCTCTTCTGATCTTTCAGCCATAAAATTCAAAGCAATTTTGATAGAAAAACGTATGAATCAAGAGACGATAATCCATGGAAAAGCCGCCAGAGTTTACAAGCAAGGTAATGTTCCAATCCAGAGAGGGCGTGTGGAGATCTGGAGCAACACCAATTCAACTTGCCGTTCCCTGAGGGTAGGGCGGACATTCCTGATCAGCGGACACGAGGACACTCTTAGAAAAATACTGCTTCTGTCCTCCGATAGCTTGATAGAAGCCTGGAGCGGAGAGACAATGCGAAAAATGAGAAAGTGGCTTAGAATTGAGAGCAAACTTGCCATGCAGGAAAGTAGAAACAGGTGAGCTTTGCACTTTGTTGTTTTGATTGGATACCATTTAGATAGACCAGCTATGTCCGAGACTGCTGTAACAAAATAAAACAAAACAAAACAAACAAACAAACAGCAAGACAACGAAACTAAACTAAACAAAACAAATAGTGACAATATGAAACATGATAAGATTGAATAGAACATTATAGTTTAGATACATTTGCCAACTGTCCCATTTGCATTTTCAAGGGATAATTAATTCTGTAGCACAGATAGCTAATGTCTTTAGGTTGAATATGATTGTCGCATATAAACCAACCACTCAAATTCTAACTAACAAGAAACAGGGCCCAAGAAAAATGCTCTGTTAGTTAATTAAGGTACATTTTACCACCAATCTGTTGTGCATCATTAGAGGTTAAATTCGGCTCTCATAGGATTAAATAATTTTCATGAACAAAACATTCCTAATCCTTGTCATTTATCCCTTCTTTTACAGTGTGCCAAACAAAGAGATTAGAGAAAAACTGTGAATCTGCAAAACTTGTTAAGAAGAAAATATTCAAAGTTGTATTCAGTCTTAGACTCAAACGTACTATTTAAAGTAACTTTAACCAAGAGAGGATCCTTTCTTGCTCAAATCAAATAGCTGAGAGGGTTAATCCACTCGTAGTTCATTTCAATAGGTGAATTGAAAACAAAACAACAACAACAAAAAAAAAAACAACAACAACAACTTCTGGCTGCGAGGTAAAATCCTTCACTGACTTTCTTATTTTTCATTCATTCAGTTCCATGTCGTGGCTAAAACTCAGTCATCTTCTGTCTCCGAAGTCCTATTTCTCAGAAATTGATCTTTAAAATTGCTGCTTTAGAACTCATACAGTCAGTAGTGCGTTTTTAGTCACCAGGTTTCGAATTTCTGGCCACCCTTTCTGTGAAGTGCTTTCAGCGGGCGCGTAATCGCGGGTTTTTGTAAGCCTGGATAGTAAAGTTGTCCAAACGAAAAAACAATTATCTCGCAAGACTCATCCCTTAGTTCCTTTAGTTGTTTTTTTCTATGGCCGTTGCGAATTCCTTCTGCACTTGTCTTCGGTCAGAGTTTTCCTTTTGCTTTCAGAACGCAAACGACATTGATCACACACTTCAAATTCCTGTCAATTCTGCCTCAGTCCTCTTCAGTTCGTCCTAATGTGCAACTGAAGAGTCAGTCTTAGAAAGCAAGACGGAGACGAACGAAGTTTCGTTTGTTTCTTAGTTTAATTACCTCACATTGGATTTATGGGGCGAGAATTCGACTGATCTGTATTAGGCTCTAGATCAGTCAGTTTAAACAGGCGAAAAAGTCGGGCTCAGGAGATAGGGCGCTCGCGCTATAAGCAGGCCTCCTTCACTACTATTCTCTCGTCTGGCATGTCACAGAAGTTTGTTTGAGAGACTGTTTGCGCGACATTCCAGATAACGGCGACGACGTAGACTAGAAGGAGAGCGTGAAGACAAATGGTCGGAAAAATAGGAGGAAGCTGTCTTTTCCTAGACAAAAGAAATCGCCGCTAGTTGCTCGCTTGATTGTGTGATTTCCTGTCTCGGGTCAACTATTTATGAGCGTACGTCTTTCAGAGGACGACTTCTTGGCGACAATTAATCACTAAGTTCCGTTCTCTCTATCAGTTTGCATTCAGCGCTAATCGATTGTAGAAAAAAGCCCCAAACTTCAAAAACTTCCAGTGAATTGATTCCTTTTTTATCGCAAAAAAAGACTTAAATCAGTTGTCTCAGGTGATCACACATTAAATCACAATAGATTCAGACAACTCGATCATATGCTTAACCATTTCTGAGGAAACATAATTTAATATAAATAAAAGAATAGTACACTGGTCTTACTGTTTATAAAGCTTTCATAGACTACTTCACTTTGCTCGGAAATAACAATATACTAATCCTACAAGTTATTTTGTTTTCATTTCAATTTCTTAAACAAGGAAGTTCTTGTTAATAGGAAGTTGAAGTTAAATCCAGGAAGACCGTTACCACACTGCATCGGCAGCAGCGAACCAGGCTCGTGCTACAAATAGGACAATCTCTAAAATGGTGAAAATAAATATTGCTTTTATACCTTGAAGCTGCTAAGGAAATTTAAACCAACAGCTAGATTAGCGCCCTGGGTTTAGTAATTGGTTCAATATAGTCCGAGTATTGTGTACTGATACAGGAATTTGTTATCCGCTGTATCATTACCGTAATACAAAGAAGAATTGAGGATGGCAAAGGATTTATACGTGACGCGTGATTAATGCCAAAAATAATATGTGACGCGTGAACTCAACATTATTAATAAGGCGAACACGACGTTCGTGAATTCATGAACCAGCGTGAGGCGTGATCAGGTGTCTCTCCTAATATAAACGTGACTATTGAGTTTTTCTTTCATTTCCTCGAAACCTCAAGATTTCCTTGAAACCTTGCACACAAGAAGAGGGATTTATTGAATCTATCCTTTTACATACGTTACGCGTGAATCTTCCAAAATTCGTGGGTGAATCGGGATCAGAACCCCTCCCTCCCCCACTCTCTCTGTAATGACTTGAAGTTGTCAACCCGTACTCTTTGGACCGCGTAACCTCTTGCGATACATTGCGGTTACCGTATTAGATTAACTTGCGCAGTGCGCGGTATTTACTGATTGCTTTGAAGCGTAACTGCCAGCCACGCAATCAGCATTGGAGAACTTGGGTCCAGTTGTAATATCTTTGCTTGACTCTTTGATCGCTTGCAAGGACTTCTCCAAATCCCACATCTGAGCGTTAGTTATGCGGATCGCCACTGCACCTCAAAACCTGAACTAGTGCCCAAGGACGATATTATGAGGTAGCAGCGCTAAGTTCAATTGGATAAGTGCATTTATTCGGTTCATGACATGTCAGTTTTTATCGATTTCTATGAAATCTATGGTTGCTTCAAATTAAATAACCTAATTCTGTGATTCAATTTGCGATATAAACCAAGGATTAAGTTCCTTCGTCCGGATTGAGTCTTCATAGAATCGATACTGATCTATAGATGTCCCCGACGAATGGATTAACAAAGAACGGACATCCAAGATTAATGATCCTCTTAAGCATAATTTTTTTGGTCAAATATTTACTATGAAACCTCACTTGGCCAATATCCATCCGAGATGTTGACCTGACGGTGAATCAGTTAAGGACGAAATATTTGGCTAAAATATATATATATATCTATTGGAAAGAATTTTGTCTCTTTCCAAGTTTACGGGTCTCGTGATCCTGTCCAAATTTCAAGAGGTTTGATGATTGTTGCTCTGGATATATTAAACCATAAATCACGGTGTAATAAAAGAAAAAAACTCTTACTCTGTCTCTCGAGATTTGCATGAAACAGGAAAAAGCAGGATTCATGAACAGCTGAAAAACTCTATAATATCGTCATTTGAAAAGCCTCACAGGAGAGATGTTTTGAACTACAACTTTTTTAGTTAAAAGGATAAACTTCCCACGCATATGGGTTATAAGCAAATGGACTTCCTCGCAGTTTTTAGTGACCTTTTTGTTTATTGTTTTGATTTACTTCGCGAACGGAAAGGAAGTTGTAACATTCTGATAAACGAAATATTCTTTTTAAACCTCTTTGAGAAAGCTTTTACCGAAAGCGGTGAACGATTTCACTTGTTTATCGCATGCAACTCGACAAGCAATAAAGTAACTGATGTAAAGATACCACACCTGAATTGTAGTCTAGGTTAAAATTCAATCTTGATATCTGATTATCTCTTAATACTTGTCTTCCTCAACCTCAAACGTATTTTTGCTTTACAGATTCGTTCGTAAAAGACGCAATTCGATGAGAGTATTTGAAGCGCACCATTTTGCATTTCGAAAGCTAGCGTGAAATCGCATGCAAATTTTCGAGCAAACATGATTTGTAATTATCAACAAAAGATCATAGAGCGCTTGAAAAAATCATTTATGAACTTGGTTTTTTTTTCGTTCAAATTATTTACTTGTAAATCAATGGCAGTCCGTTACAAGGTATGATGTGACCTTTAATGAAAGTGCTGAGAAAAAATACCCTAAAAGTATTCCGGGGAAAGAGAAACGGTTTTCTTTGATTTAGGTACATATGTTACAAAGGCAAAGATCACAATACTAACTTAATTTTGTTTCAGATAAACATCACATGCTTAGGTCGGAAAATAAAAATAATCCCCGCAAAGTATACCTCAAAACGGGTCATTTGATTAACCAGGGAATTCCTTAAATGTACTTTAACAGAACAATAACATGTCACACCACAAAAGCAGAATTTATGGGACGCGAGAAGAGAAAATTTCCATAAAAGAAAAAAACAGCTGTTGGCACTTATACCAACTGACCCAAAGCTTTCATCGCAGTTCTTTGGCTTACCACAAACTCTTTAAAACTATTACCTGTCAATTCGTACCACTGTTACATCTTTTTAGCCATTTCTCAATTTTATGAATATTTCTTTGGTCCTTGTTAAGATCTTCGGTCGAACATGTTCGCGATGAAGCGAGGGCATAATTCAAATTCATCTGAGTCAGATGCCATTGTCTGTCCCCTTCGCGGTCACAATATTGTATATTTTCATCTGACGCACTTCTTGGGACAATTCCAGATCCATTTTCCGAAAAATCCGCCGAACAGTTCAATAAATCCCTACTTACAGATATACCGACTGCAGTTGATAGATCACAGCAACCGTCCAATTCGGAATAAAGATCCGCACTGGCATCAGCTAGAACCATGTGAATATAATCCATTGTTTTGTATCGGCGAGTCATATTAGTGATTCGATATCTCGACCAGGCTTTTAAAAACTCTGGGCAATCGTCGTACAAGATTTCTTTTTCGAGGTCGCAAGGAAGACTCCGCCATCTTGGTATCCATACGGTATGATCACTTCTTTGGCTCGTAGTTAGAAACGAAATGCAAGAAAATCTATCAGTTGCCAATGAAGTTCTTGATTGTATCTTCTTTCCGCGGAATTTCGTCGGATACCTCGACATATCTGGAGTGATAATTACCGGAGGGGACAAAGGCGACTCGTTTTCTGTTTCCATTGTCGGTCATTTCTCGAAAATATTTCAACACTTCAGTTGTAAATATTAACTTAACAGGTTTAGTGAAGAGAGCATCTGATTAAAGCTGGGCGAATGCCAATCTGACGAATGAATATTACAATATTAACATGGCTTGCGCTTCACATCGCTGGCGGTGAGTAATATATTCCAAAGGACGGTATTTTTGTTGTGTTACGTATGTGCGCATGCTGGTCAAACTCGTAAATTGTATTCCAACTACAAACTGTCATGCTCTGTTCTCCCATTGGTTAGATCTAAAAAGTGGGATCAAATCCGGAAAGGGTCCTTTGATCAGAAAACTTGAATTTGTTATCCGATCTCTTTGGCAAGGTGATTATTAAAGGAAACATAGATTTCTATCTTCGATTTCTTATTTGTCCACGCATTTGTTTTATGTGTTAATGTTCGATTTTTTTACCGTATATTTTGCCCATTTTGTAAACAATACATCAAAAGATTGAAGCTTTGACGCATTTTGTATCAATAGGTAGATGGGAAGTTATAGACAGACTTTCAGTTTAATTTCCAT